TGTCGGATGCTCAAAAAATCTTCTCTCGTGTCGGGGCTCCCGATGCAGCTTTCCGGCCACTGCTGGCAGCGACTCGGCAGTCGTTGCCAATGAAATGTTGCTCGACAACAGCGAGCTTTCGACGCTTATTTTTGCCAATTTTATTCGACTTTAATGCACGCACGAGATGGCAACGTACTGCATTTCTTACATTTGCCTTTTGTAGCAATTGTACAGTTATGTACGTGAATGTACGCAAATGTACGAGATTGTACGGAATCGGTGCGTGGGCTGGAGAGTGCATTCAGAAGATTTCTGCTTTCAGCACCAGCAGCCATGTTCACCGACACGGCGACGTACTTCAAGCAGAAGGACGAGCAGACCAAGTTCTTCGTGGATACATGGTTTGGCGACATGCTTGCTGCCGGAGTGGGTTTGACAGAGCTCCCTGCGACCACAAGCCAGGCGCTCGTCGCACTGCTGCTGCCGCTCTCCGGGTACGGCGCGCTTGCACAGGCCGTTGCGGCGAGCGACCTTTCGGTGCACATCCGGGGCGTGTGGCAGATGCTGCATGCGACGAGCCGGATCAACTCGACCACCTCGTATCTCGACACCACGACAGGTTTCGCCAACCTCGTGCTGGGGCGTGGCGGCGCCCACGCGCACTTTGCCGCCATCATCAAGAAAGGCGCGGCGCATGCGACGCACAAGGTATCCTTCCTCGGGTCCCCAGATGTCGAGAACCTCTCGATGGCGATCGTCTTGTCGAACGTTGGCGTCGAAGTCGTCGAGGCGGCGATCGCAACGGACGCGCGCAGCACTCCCGTCCACGTGGTGGCCGACGCTTCTCTCTTTGACGCTATCTTGCGCGTGGCGGCCAAGGCCAACCTCCTCCAAGACCTTCCTCGGCGTATTCAAGGCGTGCTCATGGCTGTTGGTGACGTTGTCCTCCCCGATGTTGGCCTCTATAGCGCTGGCAACTCGCGGAGTCATTTCGTCGCATACACGCCTTTTCGCATCGGATGCAAAATGCTCACGACGCTCGAGATCGAGACTGACCTTGCTGCCCGTAGCGCGTAGAAAGGGTCTCGTCTACTTCAAATAGTTTATTGATAATACGCAGCGTTCTGCGCTTGACGATCCGTCTTCTTGAGTAAGTCGAGGCGCTGCAGCACCGGAATCGCAGCTTGCCGCGCAACGGCCTACATGGATATATGCACCATTGGAGGTGCTGGCGCTGCATTCTCATGGATGGATTCACCTACATACCGTTTTGTGGGACTCTGCATCAAGAGCAACATGGGGTTGGTACAAATCGACGATGCAGGTCCGTGGCCTCTTGTCCGTCGTGGGCGCAGGACGGCGGCGCATGGTCGTTGGCGCAGGTCGGCGGCGCATGGGCGACGGCGCATGGGCGTGGGAGGGAACGAACGCGAGGTCCCGTCCAGCGGTGCGACGGTCGCCTTGGCCAGCCCCGCGATCGGCGTGCGCGCAACATCCGTGGCCGCTCAACCTCGAGAGCTGACTTTTTTTATGACACGCCGACAGCTGGCTCCAAAGTATCTATTTTATTAAAATGACGCATACATTCTCTCGGATATGCTGTACGTTTTACCTTGAAATTTGTATGGAACCATCGTAGGTAAGGTATCTCTCTGCGTTCAAGGCAGCTTTACGGCCGCTTCTTGCTACACCTGATCAACCTTGTTACACCTGATCAACCTTGCTAGTGAGCTCATGTTGCTCGACACCAGTGCGCTCCTACGCCTCATTTCGCTCATATTGCTCGAGTTCAACGCGCGTACGATACGGTATTGTACGTCATTTTACGGAATCTTTGTATGCATACGTACGATACGGTATGCAAAATATGCGTACATTAGCTCGAAAACCTCCTCAAGTACCGGGCATCCGGATGATAGGCCGCGGTCGCCAGCACAGATCTCATTCTGCAATCTGTCGGGCGTACAAGACCATGTCCTCCGCGCTCACGCTCCGTCTCGAGCCGAGTACCTTCGGCTTCGCTAGCTTCTCGTACGGCTTGTACGATCCTGCCTCGGACGCCAGCCTCACCACGGCCGTCACCCCGATCTACATTATGGCGGCCGCTTCCGACCGGTAGCGGACGGGCCGCCACCCAACCCGACGACGGTCACGCGGGACGAGGTCGGTCGACATGACCATCGACGCGGCGGAAGGTACCACGGGGATTGCGACGTACGTCGGGGCCTACGTGGCCTTCGCCCGCGCCACCGGCAGCTTCCGGACGTGGGCGTCTCCGATTACGCATGGGAAGCCGGCCGCGGCACGGTGACGATCGCGCTGCCGGACGACGTCAAGTGCCCGTTCCCGGAAACGACTTTGCACGTCCAGGACGTGCAAGTCGATTATTACAACGAAGAAAGTACGACCATTTTATTTAGCATAACCGTTAGGAGGTTAGGAGGATAAGACCGCAGTGGTGGCGTAGCGTGGTCTGCTCTGCTCCCCAAAGTGTCTTCTTTCAATGTACCAAGTATGGGCGATTTCATTTCAAACGCGAGATCGGGGGCCGAGTTGCGTCGGCTCGCGGGCGGTGGTTCTAATACCAAATATAGCCACATTCGAACGCCAAAGGCTCGGTGAAGCGAGAGTTGGAGCACAATTCATGGTTGAAAACGAAAGCGATCATACTTGACATGGTGATAGAATGCACTTTGGAGAGTACGAAAAGCTATACGCCATCACTGTTCGAGCTCTGCAGCGAGAGTTCTTGACAATATATTGAACATACTATTTGAAGCCAATAATTCCCGGTATAGTGTATGCATTCAAATAGTATATTAAAATGCAAGCGGCGCCGTAGCGGGCTCTAGAACCACCATCGTCAATGCAACATACTCTCCGATACTATGTAAAAGAGATAGCGCTCTCGGATTCTGCGAAAACTCAACTTTTTACTCGAATTTCTATGTACAAGTCGGCGAAAAACGACGCTCGGCAGTACGACTTTGCTGTGAGAGCACAAGTGCCTACCGCGTCCCAAGCGCAAGTCGCCGGGCCAGTCCATATACATAGCCAACTGTGGCTGCCTGCCTCGGAGTCGGTCGAGTTTCCGAACTGCGCGAAAACACGTTGTGCATCTAGGCGTTTCTTTGGCCACCTCGAAAAATCAACGTTGGGATTCGCATGCATGCGCCACTTTCGGCGTCCAAACCGTCATCTCCATGATAAAAGGATGCTATAGAACGACAGGAACCGGTGCAGCCTCGCGTTAACGCGTCTGTGCGGCGTCGATCGTGGTAGCCTGATATATTGTATTGTATTCGGATAACTGATACAATTTGTATGTCTGTGAGTATCGAGCTTTCAATTCAGACCTTATCGTTGCCAATAGCAAATTCGTTCCCAAAACAAGTATGGACAATAAACTATCCATTGCATTCAAGCATTATGTCCGAAAAACTGAGTAGCAGATTGTTAGTTATGAGATGTCAATCTAATACAAGTTGTCATTGATCATCGAGACAAGGGTCATTGGTCAGTGTATACAGGATCGGTTGTACACACGTACAAGCTCACGACCGGATACACGAAGCTGATACTTGAACAGTCTTCGTGTCACGATATAACATGCGCGCCATCAGGATATTATTGACCGCATGCTGGAACACAAGGCGTGCAGGTAACACGCACCTCAAGGAAACACCGTCCGTGATGGAGGCACGGTACGTGTCGCTAAGGTCGCACACATCCTACAGGAGATGTGATGCTCACAGCCATTCAGTCTACACTGGTGGTTGCCAGGGACGCTGGTATCACGTCATACATGTTTGGGTGATGATGTTGTGGCTCTTGGAAGACAAGTCTGCTCTCTGCAGCTTGTCATATCGGAATTGGCCAGCAACTGAGCTCTTCTACTCTTTCTACACTTTCGCTACGCAACACAGATATATAGCGGGAGACTCTAAGCCTCGTTTGTGGTGCAATTGAAATGAAGCACTCTTGATACTTTCGGGTCGGTTTGGACGAGGGTAAACCAGAGCGACTATTCCACACGAATCCTTTGCCAGACATCGCCGTGGACTAAACGAGCAGCTAGGTATACGACCAAGCATCCGTCAACGTACTCTGAAAAAGCGTCGTTTGGTGTGACTTGTTCTAGTAGCATGAGGCACTTGAACTCGTCAAAGCAGCGCAGCTCGTGAGCGCGTCGATCACGCCGCCCGTTACTCCATCTTCGTGCTCTTGGACAACGCTACAGAGCGCGTCCGTGCTAAAGTGGTCGATTGCCCCTTTCGGCCGCGCCTCGAGAATCCTTTGGCACCATCCTGGAGCTGCACTGGGCACTGCCGAGCGCGGGCGTGGCCGGCACAGGCATGTCGAGCTACAGGAAGAGCGGCGCGGCCTGTGGAAATTCCACGGCGAGGATCGGAAGGCTGTTCGCGACCAGAGAGTAGGCGGAGCGTCGGCCTGAACCAATGGCTGACCTTGGGCGCGATCGTATTGAGGACTTCAACCTTTCCAACCGGACGCGCGAGCTGGCGAATGTCGTTTCGTCTCGTGCTTGGGCGTGTACTACCGAAGTACGGTATGCAATCGGACTGTTTGCAATCGGCTTGAGAAAATCTTGTGTCCATTTAACGGTGTCGGGGTTAACTTAAGTGGTCGACCTGAAGATGCTTCCAGATGTCGCACCACTCACTATGGACAAGTGCTACAGCCCGAAGCCGGCAGGATCGTCTTTTCGGGACCCACGCCAGTATTCCATCGCGCGCGATCAATTGCGCCAGAAACTCTGGTGCCCCGATATGCCGAATTGTACTATTTGTGGCGTCCTGTGGGAATTATATATGGCATATGCCACTTTGAAGGAAACACAACACACAACGAAAAGAGACCTGTGGCAC